ATTTGTGTCAATATTCCTTTTGAGGTAGTTACTTGGTGAAGTAGTACTCCAAATTTTTTGAGCCATTATTTACAACCACTTTTATCTTTAGGATATGAAAAAAAGGACTGGAGGAACAAAAGAATATTTAAAACAACCCACATTGACTCAGTATCTTCTTTTGTATCGTCATAAAGTACATATATGATAAAATAAAAAAATAAATTATAAAAAAAAATAAAGTACATATGTTTATAGCCATTATATATATATATATATATGGTTCTAGATTCTATTAATTCCTGCCTTTACGTTGGGCCCAAATATTTCAGGTAATGTAGGCTGGGCTTAACGATGTTGGCCCAAAACTTTACCCGAAAAATGACAATGTTTAATGGGTAAATTACACAAACATCCTATAAGGTTTGGACAGATTACCATGAGTAAACCATTCAACGTTTATTATTTTGACATCCCTTAAATCCGTTTGCCGTAAGAAAGTGATTTTGAATGTGAAAATTCAGTGATACCCTTATATTCTAATAATATACAGTATTATATTGCATTTTATGGGCAAAATTTTCATTTTATAAAAATACTAAGGGGTGTTGTTTAACACACACCCAAATCTCAAAGGCGGTAAAACTAATAAATAAATACGAACGGTCTACTTATGTATAATTTGCTTAAACCTAAAAGGAGGTTGGTGTAATTTACGGTATTTACCCTTGTTTAATCTGCCTTTTGCAACTTTATCAGGTCTTGGGTCATTAGAAATAGAACACAGGGACTATTTTACTGGGCTAGGCCAGCAATAAGTGTTGCTCAGAAGTCAAACCTACTATATGGTCTTTGTGTTTGCATATTGGATCAGGCCCAAACCATATTTTGGGAAATATAAAAAAATGAAATGGGCTGTAAATAGAGCAGAAATGGGTGCTGTCTAGGCTTTGCTCAGATATCAGATCAAGCCCAAACCCATTTTTAAATCCATTCTAGTTAACTTTATTCAAACCATAAAGAACACAGTTTCCTTTTCTTTAACACAAACCCAAATATGTTCATGTGTGCTGCAAGTGCCATGTTGGCTGAGTAGTTTGATTGCCCTCATATTTGTGAGCCCGTGTTCGAGCCTTTCACACTCCACTCTCCTCTAACCACTATATGTTCATGCTCCACTCTCCTCTAACCACTATATGTTCATGCGTATATATATATATATATATATATTTACAATTGTGTGATGATTATATTCCTTTGTTTTGTCCCATTTTTTTTTTTTTTTTTGGTGTAAAACCGTGAATGAGCTTTTGGTTATATATATATATATATATATATTTACAATTGTGTGATTATTATATTCCTTTGTTTTGTCCCATTTTTTTTTTTGGTGTAAAACCATGAATGAGCTTTTGGTTATATATATTTACAATTGTGTGATAATTATATTCCTTTGTTTTGTCCCATTTTTTTTTTTTTTTGGTGTAAAACCGTGAATGAGCTTTTGGTTATATATATATCAATTTATCACTTTTCTATAAAATATGATTTTTTTATACTTTTTCAAAATATTATATTTTTTTCTACTTTCCAAAAAAGAAAAAAAAAAAGAAAAAAAGAAAAAAAAGAAAGAAGAAGCATTTCTTCAACATATTTTATCACACTTTGACTTTGCCACAAACAAATTGATTGTTTTTATCACATCTTCAATCTTCTAACATTTTTCACAATCCAAACAAAGTAAGTGGAATAACCATTTACCAGTAGACAAAGACTTAGTTAGTCGTACTACAATGTGGCACAGAGGTAATCTGATTTTATTTATTTTTATTTATTTATTTTTTTTTATCATCCAAATTTACTATTTTTATTTGATATTATAATTTTAATTAGAAAAATTATTTGTTATTACTATCAAAATTATTCTAGGCTTGTTCTTTTCAAAATTTAGTTTGTGTAACTGTGTTACTAATTATTATTCTCTAAATAAGACTTAGAATTTATTTTTATTTGCAGCCCAAATCAATGAAATCACCGATTCACTGTTATCATTGATTTTATTATTATTATTATTTTTTTTACATATGTGATATGTTAGGTAACTGTGTTATTTTCTTTCATATTTTATTCTTGATTCATTGAATATGATTTTTTTAAATATATTTAATTGAATTAACTCAATTTTGAAACAATAATGAATAATTTGAAAAATCATTGTGAATATACTTAATAGATATATAATGAATCAATATTTTAATTTTTACATATATTGTTTTGGTTCAAATTATATATATATATATATATATATATATATATATATTATTGCTATTAAAGATTGTCTCTCCCCACATAAGAAAAATTCTTAGCTACGCCCCTGCACATGCCTAAACAAGCCTAACCCAATACTTTTCGAGATCGACTAATTTACTAAACTAGCCTAGAATCGAGCTCGAGCTTGTTGCTTAATGAACGAGCTGGACCTGCTCATGAACAAGATAAAAAGCTCGGTTCCCTATTCGCATTCTACTTTAAATGGTAAAAGAGATACCGTTATATAATCATAAAGAACCCAATTCCCTTCGTTTTTGGCGGAAAAGAAAAGTGGAGTTGGAAGGATATGCAATTCCTCTTCTTTCCAATTCCCTTCCTTCAAATTCACTCAAAAAGACATGAAAGAAAATATAATGCCATCTATATTCCCATAGTACGAACCTATTGACAAGCGGAGAATTAGATTTGGAAGACACAATTAAGCAACAAATCAGAGTGGCGCAGCGGAAGCGTGGTGGGCCCATAACCCACAGGTCCCAGGATCGAAACCTGGCTCTGATAAGAGTAGCTTCCATCCCACCATTTTTTTTTCCCCTTCTCATGAGTTCCAATTATTTTCTTTTCTCTGCCAAACCCTTTTACTCCTTGTGTGATTCATCCAAATTCCTCTTCCTTTCTAAATACAATCAAAAGACAATGCCATCTATATTTCAATGGTAATGAACCTATGGGAAGTGGACAACTACATTTGGAAGACAAAGTAGAAGTTCAGGTTCCGCAGTGGCATATGGGTGTGTGTGTTTCTTGCTGGAAAAAAAAAAAAAAAAAAAAAAAAACATGTAAAGCTATGTTTCAAGTGCTTTTAAACAAACAAACAACAGTAGACATCTTTCTAAACACCAACCATGGTGGCTTCTTTAAATGCAAAATTTGAAGCCTTCGCGGTGAAACATTTAGAACAGAGTCTTGAGGGGAGATGGACTTTGTTCCTTGATATTTTCCAGAAAATGTTTTATATAAAAGCAAAGGAAACAATACTTATAACACTCAGCTCATCGAGAAGTTTTTACAGGCAAAAAGGAATATAACCACATATATCTAGGTTCAGGATCATGAAAAGCTAGGTTCGAGCTCAGGATCGACTTATTTAATAACAAAGTTATTCGAGCGCGATTTGAGCTTATGTTCAAGTTTTTTTTGGCTCATTCATGAAATTATATGAATCTACACAAGCCCATACAAGTCCATGTTTATGAACGTGTTCATAATAGGTTCATGAACATATATGAATCTACACAAGTCCACGTTCACATGCCTAAACGAGCCGAGCCCAATATTTTTTTAGATCAGCCAATTTACTAGCCTGGAATTGAGCTCAATTGCTAGCCCGAGCTGCTCATGAACCAGAACAAACTCGGTTCATTTGCAACCCTACTCACCTAGTACATTAGAAGGTAGAAGAGATACCATTGTACTATTATAAAGAACCCAATTACCAATTAGACAGAGTAAATACATGCCCGTGTTTATAGTATATATATATTTTTTAACAAATTTGATTTTTGTAAGAGGCAGTTGTGGATGTGTACCTGTTTTTAATTAAACAAATAAATAAATAAAAAGGAAACAACAGAATAATTTTGAAAGATGGTAGAAAAGAAAGGACAAAGTAGTCATAGCCCTAATTACCAAAAAGGGGAAGGAAAAAAAGCAATGTTAAAATATTTAGGTTGAGAAAGTGAAAGCTCCTCCTCTTGTTTAGCAGCCAAATAGGGGACAAAAGGAAAGGAGGAAGACGTGTATATTTGACTAAAAGGAGAACGTATAAATTAAAGTTGGTCTCTGGTTTAAAATCAGTGAGGAGGAAAAAAAAACTAAAAGACTTCTATTTTGTGACTAAAAACGATAATAATCATAATATAATGTTCCTTGGTAAAAAATAAAAATTAAAAGACAAAACAGTCTCACAATTTCGTTTTCCCTTTTACTTCTTGTGTGGTTCATCCAAATTCCCTTCCTTTTTGGCGGAAAAGAAAAAAAGTGGACTTGGAAGGATAAGGAATTCCTCTTCTTTTCCAAATCCTTTCCTTCAAATCCAATCAAAAGACATGAAAGCACAATGAAATCTATATTTGAATGGTAATGAACCTATGGAGAAGTGGACAAGTAGATTTTGAAGACAACAATAAGCAACAAATCAGAGTGGCGCAGCGGAAGCGTGGTGGGCCCATAACCCACAGGTCCCAGGATCGAAACCTGGCTCTGATAAGAGAGTAGCTTCCAAACCACTATTTTTTTTTATATGCTCCTCCCTATGGTTTGTGATAATTTGTTTTTCTACAGGGAAAAAATAAAAATCTCATGAGTTCCAATTATTTTTTTTTTCAAAATTGATGGAAAACCAGAGTAGTCTCCAAGTAGAAGATGGCTAGGAACTAATAATTAACAAACCAAAACCATATGCAACCACAGTTGTATCAATACACAGCAACTTTATCAGTAAAGTTTCTAGGTAGCCTAGTGTGACTTCCTCGCCTTCCAAAGTAGAAGTTGAGAATCCATAGGGGAGTGTGTGTGTTTATTGCCCAAAAAAAAAAAAATACATGGAAAGCTATGTTTCATGTGCTTTTAAACAAACAAGATGTCTTTCTAAACACCAACCATAGTAGCTTCTTCAAATGCAAAATTTAAAGCCTGGCAGTGAACCATTTAGAACAGATTCTGAGGGAAGATGACTTTGTTCCTTAATATTTTTCAAAAAGTGTTTTATATAAAAGCAAAGAAAACAATACTTGTAACACTGAGCTGAGAGCCTGAGAGAGAAGTTTTTTACAGGCAGAAAGGAATATAACCACATATATCTACCATACAAGTCAAAAGAATAGCTAAGTTTATGCTTATTACTCCACATACTGCTAAGAAATAAGTTAAACTTCTAGATTTCTACACAGTAACTACTTCATCTAATCACTGACAAATAGAAAGGTAGTACCAAAACAAATTCACCTTGGAATAAAAATCCCAGCTCTAGCCTCTAGATGTAGCAAAACAAGCCCAAGAGTCACTATCATCGTCGCATCCATTCATGTCATTTCACTAGCTAAGAATGAACCGACAGTGCTGAAAACCTGCAACACGATATTTAATTGCTAAGAAAATGCAGGAAAAAGAATAGCATAAACTGCAAACATGATATTTAATTTTAATCCCACCAGAAGTTTATGACTGCAGAATTCAACTATTTGGCTTAGTTAGGTCTTCATTTAGTAACAAACATCATAAATTACAAGATTCGGAAGTAATTTCTTTTATATGCTCAGTTTTCAATACAACCAAGAAACAATTCCAAAAAAATCATTATGATTAACTAAAGCATAAAGCATAAAGCATAAAGCATAATTCAACTATTTGGCTTAGTTAGGTCTACATTTACTAACATCATAAATTACAAGATTCAGAAATAATTTCTTTTATACGACCAGTTTTCCAATCAAGAAACAATTCCAAAAAAAAAAAAAAAAAAAAAAATCATTATGATTAAAGCATTAAGCATCAAGCATAAAAACAGATATAAACAACATTCAAATTTTAGAGAATGTTAGAACCAACATGAAATCTTATTCAAGTAAATCATATAACTAGTTAATCAAATTTGAGGAAAAGCTTACTTGGGTCAGCATTTATAATCATAGCAGTCCCTCCAAAACTACAAGTCCCACCATTTTTCTTGCTCTTCTGCCAATAACTATTGAAAGCATAAGAAGCATGGGCCACAACAGTATCAGGATAGAAACAACTCCCCAGTGAGCCAATGGCTTCACAATCGGCACCACCCTCACCGCAAGCATAGTCCATTGCCTCCTGCAATGTCTCTGCCGGCACGCTAGGCTTCGCCACACACCACAACCCCTGCATTACCCCTGTCTCTGGCGGCGCAGCGAAACCAGGATTGGTCGGATTACACGGCGGCAAATTGAACCCAAAAGGCGGGCTTGCCGGGCCGATAAATGGAGGAGGTAGTCCCGGGGCGGTAGGAAGCGATAACGGTGGCGGTGAAAGGGGCGAAAGCGTGCCAACCAGTGGAGGAAGAGGGCTTATGGCCACATTGGAAGGGACAGAGTAACCAATGGGAGTGCTTACTGGGGCTAATGGGGTTGGTCTTGTTGGGAATGGATCTATGAATGAGAGCTTTCTAGTCATGGGTTTTCTTTCTTCTGGGCTATTGATGATTAAATTGATCTTGTTTAGGTTCAAAACCCCAAGTTTTTTCATGGATTCTGAGTGAGAAAACACCAATCTCATGGTTTCATCTGATTGAATAGACAGATTTGGTGGTGGGTTCACTAAATAAGTTGAATTAATGTCTTCCAAAAAGTTCAGTACAGGTTTGACATACAAAACAGATGATGAGTGTAAGCAATTGGAAGAGAAAGAAGCAGAAACTTTGATTTCTCTCTCCAAACCCCACCGAGTGAGGGTGTAATAAATGTTTTTCATAGATGGTAAAACCAAACCCATATTTTGTTCTTGGTTTTTGTCACAGAGGACATGGTGTCCCACAACAATGGTGTTGATTTTGGTGGCTGGGTAGTAAGCTAAGATATGGGTCCTAATCCAATTTTCAGCCATAATAACAGTGCTTGAAACCTCATTCAAATGTTCATTACCCACAGAAATAGCCACAGGAATACCTGTATGAGACAAACCTTGAAGCACCATTGGAGATGAGTCATGGAGGGTCAAAATTTCAACTGGTTCTTGATTTGCCCCTGTTAAAAAATAATAATAATAATAATTAATTAATTAATATTAAATAAATAAAATAAAATAAATAGTGAAAATAGAGATTCAAAAGAGAACGTTGGAAGTGTTTTGAGTTGGGTTTTTGCTTACCAGTAAGACCCATCAACACAGAGAAATAGAGAAGATGAAATAGGCACACCATCTTCAACATTTCAGTAGCAGAGTTGAATGAAAATGCAAAAGAGAGAGATGGGGGGTTTGGGAGTTTTCAAAACCTAGAAGTGTCTCTCTCTCTCTCTATATCTATGTCTCTCTCTCTCTCTCTCTCTCTCTCTCTATGTATGTGCTTTAAGGTCTGGAGGCACAAGCAGCCTTTTGGAGTGCAAGACAAGGTACTGGTACTACATTGAAAAAAGTTGTATCACCTATATCTTTATCAAATTATTTTTGTTGCAACTTATGGAATTATGCTTTAAATTGTTGTACATTTGGGACGAAAAAGGGGTTTTCTTTTTGAGTGTACAACTCTCACTGCACATGGTACATACAATGCTTGGGAAGAGAAATGGTCTGTGGAAGGAAATGGGAAAGATGTCAAAATGAAAAAGTGAATCTGGGTTATTGGGAAACGAGGAGAACGAAACATTGGGTTTGGAAATTGTGAATTGTGTGAAGCCCAAGGCCCAAAAGCAATACAGATATGAGAGAGAGCGGTCGTTATCCATTTTGGAGTCCAGCTGGTTCTTAGAATTGATAGTACTACTGGCGTTGTACCTTTTACTTTGCGCTGAATAAGGACGAAATGAGACTTGGGACCCACCATAAAACAGATTTTGTATTGTGCGGATCACAGAGCCTGCAACAAAGGATCCACATGTCACATACATCATTAGTCCCTCCTTAGGCCATCCCCAAGAGTTATTTTCACATATTAAATTTATATTTGGACAAACACGGTTACGTTTTAGTAATTTTGTTTTAATAATACATTTAATGTAAAATATTATTTTTTAACACAATTACCATTTCTTTTCAACTCTTATTCTCACCATTCATATTTATATCAGTAATATTAATATTAGGCACAATTCAAGTCAAGTTGTAAACATTAGAAAGAAATTAAAATTAAACCTAATTAAAAAAAACAAATATCTAAAATATCTTGTCAAAAAAAAATAAATAAATAAACAAATTTTTTATAATTTTTTTACCACTATTTGTGAATTAGTTTTTTTATATAATTTTTTTTTTTCTTTTTCAAAAATTTATATTATATTATATATATGTGTGTATATTATATATATTTGATTATATTATTATTAAAAATATATATATATATTTAGGGCAAATCATTTCAGCCTCCCCAATCGCCTCCATCTCTATTCTCGTTCTCAACTTTGAAATTGTCCCCCCTCTCTCTCTATGCAACTGCAAACTACAAAATCAACAAGAATCGAAAGTTCAAAACCCATATCTTTCAGTTTCCATCGCCTGCTGTTCCAGCTTGGGTTCACCGTTCGCAAGCTTCAACCGCTGTCTTTCAACTTTCAAGCTTGCCCCCCTCTCTCTCTGCAACTGCTAATCAAGGTCTGTAATTCTTGTTCCAGTTCGGCATATCATTGTATGTAAACTATTTGGTGAATTTTTTATTTTTTTATTTTATAAATCAACTAATCAAGGTCTGTAATTCTTGTTTTGCAAACTAAATCCTATGGTGAAATTTTTTATGATCTTATATATATATATATATATATATATATATATATATCTGACATTCGCCCCCCTCTCTCTCTCTCTCTGTGAAATAGCAGTAGCTATTTCTTGTGTTATAATTGTCATCTGATGGTTGTTGTCCTACCATAAGCTTAGGAGTGTGCATTAAGGCGAGTGTCAAGTTTTACATTTATAGAAGCCACTACTACCTTCACTAAAAATATAGTTAGGGTGAGTAGGGATCGTACCAAGGGATTGAAGTCTAATTTGGTTATGAAATCACTATTAGGGTTAGTAGGTCGAGTGATCAAACAAATAGTGGGTTGGTTGATTAAACTAGAGAGCAAATTAAATTAAATAATTGAATGCAATAAAGAGTAAGTAAGAGAGAGATAGATCTTGGGGTTTAGATATCACCACCAAACAATGCTTTTCTACATCCTTAACAAGTGACTAATGAGGGAAATGTGTGTTGCAATATTGATGTGTGTGTGTGTTTGGTTGATTCAACTAGTAAGGGTGACCAATTAAGTATACATTGTCTAATCAACATGTGAAAAGCACAATATATCTAACAATTAAGTATATATTGTCTAAATAGCATGTGAAAAGCACAATATATCAAGCAAGTCATTAATCCTTTCATTAAGCTCACAAACCAAATACACCACAAGGTTAGAGACATATGCTACTTGCATTCAAAAGTATGGAATATTAAACAACAAGCATGAATTGTCCTCCCATCTAACAACTATGTTACCACTACACTACAATTAAGCTAATAACATGAAATTAAACTAATTAAGCTAAGGGAGAGGCACAATCCATCAAGAAATGAGCATGAACCATCTAGAAAATTACAAGAGTATTCCATTAAGCACAATGTTTTTACAATCTCTAGATCTATGGCATTAATACACATAGACATGCATCAATAACACAAAAAATAGAGACAAACACATGAACATCTATTTTAGCATACATAGACACATAGATAGAATGAAATGAGCAATTGGAAGCATTAAATCACATAAATCATTGAATAAACAAGATCTATATATATAAAAGTGCCAAAACATGTATTACAATACTAAGCCCTTAATAATACATAAAATCAAGATGTAGAAAGCATGCATGGGGCTAACTCTAGCCCCAAGAGGATGTCTAGCCACTCATGGTAGTGCTTCTCCAACCCTCAAGGGCTAACTTCATGGTAGAGATTTGCTCCTTGGTTGATGAAGAGTCTCCAATGGTGTCTCTAGCCTCCTCCTCCTCTAAGCTTGCTCTCCAAGAGTTCTTACAAGGTATGGATGATATGATGTGTTATGATGTAAAAAGTAATCCCTATCCTTATATAGGTAGGTCAAAATGGCACACAAAATGAGTTAGGGTCGTGCACAAAATATTCCCCAATGATTGGATAAATGACAACTTTCAATGAGCTAGAATTTAACTTTTTCGCACTGAAGGAAGTTCGATTGATTGAACCTTGGACTTGGATCGATCGAACATGGCTGAGATCTATCGAACTGAAGTTGGATCGATCCTTAATGGCGGCACTTTTTAGATAAAGACAAATTTGAGATATTTTAAAGATATTTTCGGGAAAAGGATAAAAGTGGTTGGTAGGGTGGTACAACTAGATAAGATCAATCATTTGGATAAGGACAAGGTAGTTCAATAGATCGAAGAATGATATTGGATCGATCAAACTTTTGAAATCTCTGAAAATGTTATCATGGCTTTGATCCATCTTGAAGTGCTGAGATCGATCATGTTGGATCGATCAAACTTTGATTTGAGATCGATCGAAGATGTTGATTTTCACATTTTTCTTCCTTTTGCTTCCACTTGGCTCCTTCCTTTGATTTATTCCAGAATTGCTTCATTTCTGCTCTTATTTGGCTGAGTTAGCTTATTTTCGGGATAAGTGTCTGAAAATGAAAATAATACGAAATCAATCTAAAACGGTAAAGTAAGATAGATAAATGTACTAGAATGCCTAAGCTTAAGGGGTTTAAATACGCACTTTTCAGCGCTCATCACACCCCCAAACTTAAATATTGCTAGTCCCTAGCAATGAACTAAAAAGTAAAGGAATGAAATGAACAACTATACAACTATGAATCTAGAAAACAATAAATGGATAACGCCACTTTCGTAGGGAACACGATTGCACTTAGCACATGTAACAAGCCTTTTAAATCCCTAGGTTACCCCTAGTGGACGAGTGATGTCTCGTAAGGGTTTTTAGAAATGATACCCACAAACATTAAGCTCATTCTTTCAAAAAAGGCACCAATATTGCAAACAAGCATTGAAAGAAAACTACCTCAAGTATGCAATTTTCCAAACATTTCTAAGCAATCTCTCAAAATCTCAACATCAAGCAAGTAAGTATGGTCCTCCACACATCAAGAAAATGATCATGCAAATCAAAACAACTCTAGAATCCTTTTTGAGTGGACCGGCATCAAATATGTTGCTATCTTAGCCAACTAAAGAAATGATTACATCTTTACCCTCAAATTAGTACACAAATCTAGTACCGATCATCAAGACAAAAAGTGGACCTTTTTATTAAAGCTTTATTGTTCTAGGTGCGCTTATTCTTTTCACTCGATTTTTTTTTTTTTTTTTTTTTTTTTTTTTTTAGGATCAAAGATGGAAGCATGGTATAATGTGTTGATCTCTTAAGCTTTCTAGTGATTCATGAGGTCGAGTGTTAGGTCAATGACTCCCAAACCAGACGGCTTTAGGGCATTAGGCATTCAAACACCCTTACGGACTTACAAGCTCAAATCAATTAGGCTACAAATCAAGACAACCTCCATCTAATCATTTCCCATTTCTCACCATTTGGGAGAAGTCCTCATTTTTTATTATTATTTTATTTTATTTTTATTTTTTTTTTGAATAATTAACCTAGAGTTTGGGCCCTCCATCTTTCGGCACGAGAAGTTCAGTGCTTGATGAGGCTAGAATCTCGGCTACTTAGTGAAAAGGAGTTGTTATCCACTTTTATTAAGAATGAAACCTTTCAATGCACTACTAGTCTCAATTGGGATATAACCAATTCAATAATCAACAAAGCATGTACCCTACAAATGAATGCTAGTGTGCGCCTGTGCTAGTGTAGAATCCTAGAGTGAATCTTAAAACAATCACAAAATCAAGATGATATGGACCACCAATGCAAGCAAGATATCAATCTTTTGAAAAATTTACTCCTAAATGGCATCCATAAGGCATACAAGGAGTATTGGACTCTCAAGTCAAGCAATTTTTAAATTTTAAGCAATATAGTCCTCAAAAGATCAAAATCATAGCTAGATATGGACCAATCATAGAAAATCTCTCAAATACACAAGTTATGCTCAAAATTTTGAAATTTAAAGCTAACACTGTAAAGTACACCATTATCCCCAAACTTAAACGACACAATGTCCTCAATGTGCAAAGAGAATAAAAGGAAAGAGTATATTGGTGCAATTAAGGCAAAGAATGGCTGGGACTGAAGTATCCAAAGTAGGTAGTATACCCCCCCCCCCCAAACTTGGGATTAATTGTGGTCCTGAAATTTGGCACTCGGATAAACTCATCAGATAACAAAAAAGGAAAATCAGTGCACAGTGGACATGCAAGTGTAAATGAAATAAAATAGGGAGAGAGGTATAAG